AATCAAATTGTAAATCAACTCTCAAATTTATTAACAATTGGAAATGAAAATCGAAAGAAGAATGAAAAAACATGAATCCATCGTCAAAACAGCAAAACTGGCTTCATCGGAACCCAGCTGGGTCTTGTCGAACACAGCAGCTGGGTTCGGGGAAACCCAGCAAGGCTAGGTTTGACGAGATCCAGCAGGGTTCGTCGGAACCCAGCCTTGCTGGGTTCGGGGAAACCCAGCTAGGCTGGGTCTCGTTAGAACCCAGCAAGGGAGACCTAGCCAGGTTGGGTTTGACGAGACCCAACCTTGCTGGGTTCGACGGAACCCAGCAGATCTGGGTCTCGTCAAACCCAGCCTGGCTGGGTCTCCCTTGTTGCGTTTCAATGAGACCCAGTAGGCTGGGTTCGTCGCAGCCATCGGAAGTGGAAACCCAAGGCAGGAAAGAAAGAAAGAGAAAGAAAGAAGGGGAAGAAGAGGGATTGGGTGGGTGAGGATAGTTAGGTAATTTTATTTGTTTTTATTTAAATATTAATCTACGTGTTATTTTTTTTATTTATATAACATAATTAAAATATATATTATTGCCACATCATCAAAAAATTAAAAGATAATGTCACATGAAATTATTTAACTGTCACATCATACTTAACTGACGGAGGGACCAAAACTGTGCAATTTTTAGAGTCGAGGGATAAAAAAAATGCAAAAAATTGTTGAGGATAAAAAATGTGCATTTCTTAAAGTTGAGGAACTAAATTTAGCATTTAACCTTAATAAAAATCAATCCCAATCTTGTTTCTTCTTGTTTTTGTTTAAATATATTTTGGATTTGTTTTTTAAATTTTAATATTAAACATTGTTGTATTTTTTTGTATAATACACTTCTAAATATTGAATAGAGTTTTAGATTTTGTGTAATTTCCTTATAAATATTGAATAAGCACTAGATATTAATATATATGTTGAATTTGTCTTTTGAATTTTAATCTTTTATGTTTCTTTTTTTAATTCATTTATGAAATTATAAAATTTAAATATTATATCAACATTATATATTTAATATATGTTTTAATTTCGCTTATGTAAC